GTTGACTCTGAGAGTCAATATCTTTTCAGGCGCCGAGACGGAGACAGTATGCTAGAATTCGTCGCGTGTTGGATAATGATCGCATAATGTACTCATCTCCTTCTATCTCCTTTCATCATACTTGTCGGTTTGTCGTCTGAATTATTGGATTTATTGTCGGGTTTACCATCCTGCCGTATGAATTGGGCGGTCTGTCCAAATTGCAGTCCAAACGCATTCTACCGTGATGAGAGGTATATATATCGTATCCAATCTTTATATATATATATATATTATATAGTAATATTATATATACTTCTTCCGCCGCCTACTATAATGTATATGATATTAGACGGAGGGGTGGAGGACACCATGGGAAGATGTAGGTTTGCTTGGCCTGAGGCTAACAGTTCGAAGTCCCTTTTTCATCTGCTAAGAAGCTGGTTATATAGATCCGCGACCACGGTAATCAGGTGTGGCATGCACGTCTCCCCCGCGTGCCAATATATAGTATTAGTATATATACTATATCATATATAATACCCACGCATACGCACACAACACACGCACACCCACACATACACACACACACGCACGCACGCACACGACACACACACACACACACACACATACACGAACGAACGCACGCACACACACACACACACACGACACCAAACACACACACACCACACACGACACCCACACACACACACACACATACACGCACGAACGGCACGCACACACACATAATGGCCACGCACGCACGCACGCACGCACGCACGCACGCACGCCACGCAGTACACACACACACACCACACACATATATATATATTATCAAGAGTTAATAAAGCCAAAAGGTTAAAGCCAAAAAGTTAAATAAGCCTTTGTCTTTATTAACTCCTGATATAACGAGCATAACGAGGAACGGACAGCTATCAGGAGAGCGAGATGCATCATTGCAGTCGCCGTGCATCGAGCATCGCAAATCGATTTTAATCGTCGTCATAATCTTCATATCGCGCCGTAAATATTTAGATGGATCAGAAGACATCACACATCACATCAGGAGTAAGATAGTATAGGATATCCTATATTATCGTACTCCTGATCACATCACATACATCGCGCTGGCTGCTACACACATTCCTTCCTACACTACACAGTCTGATCACCTGCACGTACCTTCCCCGTGTTTACACATATTATCAGGAGTGTATCAAACACTCCTGTGGAGGAGTGTTTGATACACTCCTGATATTATCTCTTACGGCGCCCTACTCATACTATACCGCCAGGTACGAGCGCCCATACCGCGTTACTGGCGTGCAGTCCACGTTTATACGCGCCGCTGCCTGGCCGCGCAATACAGTAGCATGACGATTTTTTTCTATCCGCCTTTTCCTGGCTAGACTTATCTAGGAAAGGTGCCCCGCGTAAAAGATAATGGCTAATTTCATGGCCGACTACTTGGTAAACCCCGTCCGCTATGGGTCGGGGAAGGGGCGAAATAGCTCTGAGGTGATGATACAGACAGAGAGGCGGGGAAAGTCGTCGTGTGGGGACTTTGCGTTGTGGGCGCGTCGATGGAGATGCTAGCAGATGATATATATCAGTGCGCGATCTCGTGTGATAGCTGAGCTGACGCGTAGAAACACTTGCGCTGTTGTCTGTTTGCTGGCGCCCGCGATCTGTCATGTTGGGTCTCAGTAATCGGCGTGAGTGCTAGAGAAAGAGAGCGCGCGAGATAGAGTGAGGGGGAGGGGGAGAGAGTGAGGGGAAGGGAGGGAGAGAGAGAGGGGGAGGGAGAGAGAAAGAGAGAGAGAGGTGGCTGTGCGTGTGTCCGCCGGTGCACCGTGCGATACACGCGTTCACCCGTCCCCGACAATCACTCATCACGTCGCAGCAATGTAGAGTGTGTATGTTTGCACAGACGCCGCCCACGCGCACACACACGCGCGCGCACCTACACACACACACGCACACTCACGTACGCACGCACACATGTGTGATGTACGCACGCACGCACGCACGCACGCAGCCAATATATATATATATACACGTTATACGCTACCATGACATTCATCAGTGCTAATTACTGATAAATTAACAGAACGATATACATACGCGTTACTGTGGAATAATTTGAAAACGGCACGTGTGGTTTTTACACGAAGTCTACAATTTAAATAAATTCGTTCTGAACGGGTGCGGCGCGCCTCAATGTCAACAAAACGTCCGTCGCTGTTCCACTGGCCTCAGGAAGGAATTAGCTACATAGGAACTGGTTAAGTTAGTTCCCCCATCACCCCCAGTCGTACGCGTTGACTCACCAGCGCGCAACAAAACAACAATCAACACGCTTTTGCCCTCCTTTCACGGCGCAGACACGTCGGCCATTCTTCTGCCCAACCCCTGGTCCGATCAACACGGCAGATAAAGCTGACGGAAGGACAAAGGCCCCGTCGGCTTGCTGTGGGCGTGAGGTAAAAAAGGACACGGCTGTACATCAATGTCAGGTCAACGACTGTGGACATATCCGCGACACCGACAACAGCAGCAGTTGATGAGACAAGCCCCCACTAACAAGCCAGCGTGTGACCGGCTGGCAAATGCACACGGTCTACTACAAGTCTGGCGGGGTCCACCGCGTACGTGTGCCAGGCTATATAACGACCGTCAGCACAAATTCGAGTAGGATAAAGTCGCGTTCGCCCACACGCGCGCTCGAAGCTGATGATTGTTGTTGTTGTTGTTGTTGTTGTTGTTGTTGTTGTTGTTGTAGCAGCAGTAACAGTAATACTGTGATCACGCACCGGGTTCGTAGTAGTTGAACACCTTCACTGGCGCCGCCTGGATCGTGCCGACGTTAAACTCGCGTCGGGCGCGGAACTTGAGGCAGTAGGGGGCAGCACTGGGCACCTGCTCCAGGTAGACGATTATGCCGCGACTGCTCTGCTCGAAATGCTGCACGTATTCACTCGCTTCGTTCACCAGCTGCAGGGAGAGAGAGAGAGAGAGCGCGAGAGAGAGAGAGCGAGAGAGAAAGAGAGAGAAGACAGAGAGAAAGAAAGAGAGAGAGAAAGAGAGAGAGAGAGAAAGCGAGAGAAAGAAAGAGAACGAGAGAGAGAGAGAGAGAGAGAGAGAGAAGGAAGACAGAGAGAAAGAGAAAGCGAGCAAGAAAAACACAGAGAGCCAGACAGATGGAGACATGCTACGGATTATTTGTTTACATCACAGAGGTAGAAGACCACGGGTGAGAGCAAGAGCGCCGGATAGGACAAGAATAGGCAATGACAGTGACCATCTCACCTTGTTTGATGACAGTCCGCACCACAGCCGTTATCTTCTCCAGACTATTCTGTCGCTCCACCTTGGTCACAGTGATTCTGAATGCTAGAGGAAAGAAAGCACAATAACACACTCATTAGCACAGGTATTTGCCAGTGTAAACTCAGGATATATATATGTATATATATATATACATGTAATTTCTTTGAACATAACATTTAACGTCTGGTCAAACCTGTATAACATCTCACCATAACGTATATAACATCTGACCATAACCTATATAACATCTGATTATAACATATACAACGTTTAGCCCTAACCCATACAACCTCTAGATCTGGTCCCTGATTATGTCATGAGCATGCAAAGTTGCATTACTACAAATGCGTCTGTATTAGAGAATATAATCTGCATTTGTGACAGCGTAGAGCTAAGTAGATTGGTTATCATGGCCTCGGCAGTGAAGTTCTATTGTTTAAGCGCATCAGCTCCCCCGCGCGGTGGTCTCGCTCACCGTATACATTCTCGTTGCACACCTTCTCCCAGAGATCACCGTACGGTAGCGGCGCCACGTCTCTCCTTCCGTAACCCCAACATTTCCCGCAGTTTCCTGCAAGATAGAGAGAGGTAAAGCGACTGACCCTTGGGCATATATATATATATATATATACAGACACACACATAAACATAAACGAGCGCGCACGCACGTACGCATATGCACACACCACACGCCCACACGCAGACGCACACGCACACGCACACGCACACGCACACGCACGCACGCACACGCACACGCACACGCACACGCACGCAGGCACATAGCATCCCTCTCATATACGCACACTCTAGCTCACACACACACACACGCACACACACGCAGGCACATAGCACCCCTCCCATATACGCACACTCTAGCTCACACACACACACACGCACACGCACGCAGGCACATAGGCACCCTCCCATATACGCACACTCTAGCTCACACACACACACGCACGCACGTACGCACGCACGCACGCACACGCACACACACACACACACACACACACACACACACAACACAACACACAGACTAC